TCCATCCATCCATCCATCCATCCATCCATCCATCCATCCATCCATCCACTTTTATACTCTTTTCATGCATTTGATGTATTTTAGTTTTCTGGTGTAATGATTATACCGCAAATGACCTTTAGAAACTTAGTGTACAAATTCTGATTTATAATGAAATTTAATTTATCCAGATAAGGTTACAGTTAAGCTTAAAAACTCCCACTTTAAAAATTTGGATAAAAGTCCCTTAAGCTGCAGAGCAACCATATTTTCATAGCTATACACATGCTCTTAAAATAGCATTATTTTTTCTAAATATTTTCTTCTTGTTAAGAAAATTATTTGAATTTGTCTGTTCTGTTTACCTGAGTTCAACTGTGTTATATAAAGCCCCGAAAATATTTCACTGCATACCCGAGTGTTTGTGAGATTTATCACCTCAAAGTTTGGTTTACCCAAAAAGCAGCACCTCTTCACAGAATGTGTTAGTATGTAAAAAGCACTATTTACATTGTTGAATTAAATCTTTTTTTCTTTATACATTTGACTTCCACATTATCTTTTGGGAGTTGCATTTATCTCTGAGATGAAAGGTTTAAAAGTTCTGGCTTTAGTGGTTAGAACAATCAGCTGAAAGCAAGAAGACTTGCTGTTTAGAATTTTAACTGTTCTTGAGCTGCTGTGCAGAGATAGCAAGTTCTTCATGTGTCTTTGTAGATGTTTTTGGGGAAATGGGGGGGTGTCCGTGTTTTGCAAATTTTTTTAGTTTTTAGTGTTTTTAATTAAATGTATAATCTTGTGAGCATAATTAATGTTGGCCCTAACAGACTGCTGGTCTGCTTTGGGTATATCCTACCCTTTACTAATGACTTACATGTCCATCCATTTGTATTACCAATAATGGACAAATCAGGATTCAGAGTTCTGTTTTTCAATCACTTGTATTTGGAAAAACTATGACCTGCAAAAGAAAACAACTTCATGTAAAAATAATTCACCTCATAGAGAGCAATTATTAGGTTTTCTAAAAAAGACAGAACTACAAGTAGTTTCTTTTTTTCTTTTTTCTTTTCTTCTCTTTTTTTTGACAAGTTTAAAGACTGGAGTTGTCCAAATCTATATTGTCCAAAATATATATATATATATATAT